CTGGATCTTCCCATAAAGCTCAGCAGACCGTCTCACTAAACAGCCCTATTCTTTGCTCCTGTTCATGCATATCTATCAAAATTAAGCGCAATGTTTCCTGTCAGGTCTGAGCGCCAAAGACAAAGTAATTAATCATTACATTTCTCCTAATTGTCTTTTCTCTTCGTGTGAGTTTTTCAGATTGAATTGTCTTATCTAACTGGCTGTTAAATTATCAAACTGTTTCCCAGCTGTAAACGTAACACCTCGATCCATTCATGTTGCCCCACGTTTCCTATTTAATTATTAATATAAAAAAAAATCACACATAAATCAAATAAATGTTATTTTACAGATTTTATAATCCAAAATTTATTTGACGTTGTGTGCGCATCGGAACGAACTGGGGCGGAGCGAAATCCTCTCTCCGGCCTTTGAATTGCAAACCGCTCTGCGCTCCACCATATTTCTTTTGCTCCGCTCCACGCTCTGCTCACATGCTCTGCTGGTCAACAATATTCTTAATGTTCTTCCTGTATTTATATTATTATATTTGAATTCCAGGAAAAATATAACATAAGTATTTTTATATTACCTGTTTCCATATTTGTTTGTGCTCAGTGGTCTTATAACGTAATGTAATGGAATGTTTTTGTGTTCCTGACCTTCTCCAGGGCAATCGTCTCGTCCTCTGATGTACAGGTTGTAGCCATGTTTTTGCTCCAGCTCTTCTGGCAGGATCTGCAGGGCAAAGCAAGCTGCACTATCTAAACTCAGCATGGCGGATTGGCTAACGCTCACGTAGGCATCGTAAAGTTTCCCATCTGGAACTGTTAGAAAACAGAGTGAGAGTAATTGGTGATCATACTTGCAACTCTCGATCAATTTCAAACCAGATACTTGCACAAAATGTATGAAAAGGCACAAAAATCACCTTACTGTTTCACACAAATACAGACTAAATATTTCCTTTTTTTTTATAAAGAAGTTTACATTCATACATTTTTGGTGTTGGCAGAATTTCTCTGTGAACTTTAATCTGATTTGGATTAGAGGCTTTGGTTTTTAGTCTAATCAACTTCCCAAAATAGTTTGCTGAAATAAAGGCCCATTGCTCCTGACAAAAATGCTGTGACCAAGTCATATTTGTTGTTCTACCCACAAATGTTCAACAGTACTCTACACATAGCTCATAGATGGCTGATTTGGCTTTATTGTGAAACAACTTTGTATTAATTAGGCTGTATAGTCATTGTCTTTGTCCATTTCAAAAATCCATTTGTGCCCAACATTTGTGCCTAACCCATTTGGGCAAACATGGATGATCTATTGGTATTTTGGTTAAATACTTTTTCCCAATGCTCTTTCCTTATCATGCAGTGTATTTTTTTTATATAAGGCTATAATTCAAAGAACACCTTAAGTGTTTCATTCCTCCTGCCACCGGGGAGCGGTCACGGATTTCTGTTTTTGTTTCTTCTTGTGTTGCTGGATATTCTGGAGTGTAAAGAGTACTGCGGAGTTACTGTTCTGTTTTTTGGGGTCTCTTATTTTTGACTCGTCCCGTTGGCATCTCTTCAGTTGATCCAGCATCACATCCGTGTTTGTCTGGGGGTGAATTATTGTGATACTCCCAGTGTTAAAGTGAATGAACTGTTCCAACACGGACTTCATAATAAAGTGCACAGCTAGTGAATCCTGTTGCAAGAAAGATCACCTCTTATGCTGCGTTCACACCGGGGGCAGCAAAAGCAGCAAAATCGCGTCTGCTGCTTCATTTTTGCTGCTTGTACCAGTGAATTCTGACGCGCGTCTGAAGCAGCTTTGCTGCTCTCGCTGCGCGGTCCAAAAGTGTGTCTGACGCGCGTTGGGCGGAGCTTCACTATCCTTTCTCTGCCTTGCAGCTATATTTGCTGTGATCAGTGGGAATAAAGTAGTTTTATTATGTTTTTAAGTGAGAAAATACACCTGAAAACTTCATCAGTGCAGTCAGTTCATCCAGATTACAATCCTGCCTCCCAATGTTATTTCGGTCTGAGCGGCTCCGACCCCCACATACCGGCGGTGCGCCGACAGAAGGAATCCATTCATCAGCAGCCTCTGGCTGGGTCACCTCCTCGCGGTTTACCGCGGTGGCTGGTAGGTGTTTTTCATCTAAATAATCCGATCTGCAGGCACCAGAATAATAAAAGCCAACATATTCTGCCGGCAGATGTATATATTTTAAGTTAATTATGCGTTAATAAACTGTTTAAGAGGAGTAATCAGAGCGGTCTGTGTCATCAGCGCTGTGTCTCTCTCCCAGCCAGCTCCCAGATCAGCTTCTCTGATTGGTTGACGCGGCGCGTCGAGCAGCAAAAATTCAATTTTTCCATCTCGAGCAGCAACGCGTTTGCGGCGCGTCACGCGCGTCAGATGCCAAAACGCGCCCGACGCGCTGCTTCAGCTGCTCAGACGCGCTGCGCTTGCTGCTCGAAACGCGCCGCGGGACTTTTTGCTGCGCCTTGACGCGCGTCAACCATTGACTTTGCATGTAAACTCGCTGCTTCTGTCGCGCCAGCTGCCCCCGGTGTGAACGCAGCATTACTCTTCATTTCTGTGTCCTGACCAACACCCATCTTGTTTGTTGCATATTCCATATGGATTAGCACCAAGCTTAATTCTCCCTAATAATTTTGGTGATGTAATCACAGCAATACATCCCCACAACATTAATTTTTCACTGTATTTTGGCTCTGAGATAGTGAACACATAATTGTAAGCTTTAAGCTTTAGGCTTCACTAGCTGTGCACTTCTCTGGAACAAACTTCCAGAAAACTGTAAAAGTGCGGAAAGCCTGAGTTCCTTTAAATCAAGACTAAAAACACATTTGTTTAGGATTGCCTTCGACTGTTCTAGTTAAACAGTTCAACTAAAACATATTTTCTTTAGTCCAACTGTTTTTAATATTCTTTTTTGTTTCTGCATTTTTTATTTTATTTAATTAATTTATTTTTTCCTACTTGCTTTGATTCTGTTTTATCTTCCTGTATTTTAATAATGTGAAGCACTTTGCATTGTCTTTGTACTGAATTGTGCTATACAAATAAATTTGCCTTGCCTTGCCTTGCCTTAAGTGCGGATTGCAGGTTAGAGTCTTAATTAAGCAGTGTTTTGAAAAATATGTTGTAAAATCTTTGTGAGCACTTAAATCCTAAATAAACTTTTCAAAAATGATTAATTACAAAACATTTAATTTATATTTTGTCAAAAATCTAACCTCAAATTTGAGCTTTACATTTTTCAACCACAAAGCATACATCTGAGAAATGCAGTTTTTGTTACTCCGGATTTTTATGTTGCTTTCTGTTAGTGTTGCGCCGATGCCATTTTTTGGCCCCGATACCGATACCCGATACTTGGCTGTGCAGTATTGCCCGATACCGATACTATACTGATACCATCTGTTTGAAATTGATGTGTGTGTATACATGAAGAACTGCATACTACTTGGATGTAAAATAATTGCCATCATGGCTTTGTCAAGCTGCTGCCTACCTTTGTGAAGGAAGGAAAAAGTCTAATACAAAGTGAATCCAGAACTTTTTATTGTCTACCTGGAATGGGGGACAATAGTCTAATGAACTTTTGACTCTTAAAATTTTATCGGTGCCCTATTTGTTGGTACTAATTGGCGAAACTGATACCATCATTTTAGTGCAGTATCGGGCCCCGCCCAATACTGGTATTGTTGCAACACTACTTTCTGTGTAATTACTTATTGTGCTTGAGAAGTATTTAGTGTGTGTTGTTCATATTTATAAGTGTGTGTGTGTGTGTGTGTGTGTGTGTGTGTGTGTGTGTGTGTGTGTGTGTGTGTGTGTGTGTGTGTGTGTGTGTGTAGATCCTGATGATGTGTCTAAGAATTTGCTCACCTTTTTTGTAAAAGTGTGTATTAAGTTTCCTGTAGGCCAAAATCAGATCGACTTTACAGATGAAAAAGAAAACAGTCAAAAGCAGGAGGGTAATAGGAGCAGCAAGCCATCTCTCAGCGGAGGAAGCTAGACAGACAAATAGAAACAGTAACTCAAGAGGCTTTAGAAGGGTTTACTTTAGACATGTTACCAAGAAATTGCATTCAGTATAGCAGATATTTTAAGCAATTACCTTCTTGTAGGCAGACCTCACCAAGTTTCTCTTCAGCCGGGCTTACAATGTGGCAAATAATGGGGACGTTTAGCAACTCATGTTGGACTGTAGAGATGAACAGGATGGACTGCCTATACACCTTGCCTCTCTCATGAATACTGTTAAACAAAAATTAAAATCAATCGATCATTCATTCAAAACATTTTTTTTTACTTTTGTTTTTCCATTCATTTTATGCTGGTGAGTCAAAATGGGAAAAAGTTTGTCTAAATATAAAGAAATTAAGCATGCTTTGCATGGCAAGTCTTTTGTTTTTTTTTTATCCTTGTGTGGTGGTTTTGATCCACCTCTATTGTGTACATGGCAATTAATCATCTGAGGAGAAAAACTCAACGAAGAGGATCCCGAGGTGGGGAATATAAAAACTATTAGTCAAATTGATAAGAAATTAGGTCAGACTGTGAGCACTCGGAACTCTTCTAAGAATTTGTCTAAGAAAGGTAAATAAATCTTCATCAGTGTAGACAAAGAGTCTGCATAGCCTTGTATGAGACGTTATTTGGCCATTATTGTACCATTGGAGTTACACTTGTGAAAATGCCTACATGCCTACAAAATGCCTTTAGTATCTATAAACGGTGACACTAATTATGTAGAATTTTTTGACATGTCTCACAAATTAGTTAAAATTATATTTAAATTGAGATTAAATCCACAGGCCAATATGTTGCACAGCCATGCAGGAGTGTTGTTTACTTAAAATGGCTTATATTACTTTGCCTTTGATCCAAAAGATATGCAGCAGTTTGGTAAGGATGTGAGCACATAGACACTGTAATACAATGATTAATGTAGTGTCATCTGCTTTTACATCAGAATACATTGCTGCCAAAAGACTCACAACAACGACAGGATAAAATGCAGAGACTCACAATTTCCCCGTTTCGTTTATCCCACTGTAGTCAGTAGCGTAAGCATCATTAATGGTCCAGAACATAACAATCTCTTGATCCTCAATGAAGCCGACATAGGCTAAACACTGCAGCTCTGCCCTATCACCTGGGTGTCAAGTACATGGAAAACCAATCAGGAGATGAATGACAAAGTTTAAATTTAATTGTTATACATCAGTATTCATTATCGTTGTTGTAGCGATATTCACTCATATTATTTACTTACCAACTCGTACTATGACCACATCTTTTTGGGGCTTCACAACATAAAGTTCTGGAAAGACCTCTGGAGTACCTAAACAAAACATGATAAATTTAATACAGTAGATAACCAACTTCATAACTATTCCCCCTTTAGTGTCACTTATATTTTATATACAATTTTATGTAAAACTCCACTAAAGAAATCAATCTGTTGGAGATAAGAAAAAAAAAATAATCTTTCGAGTTAGGTTTAAAAGTGAAACCATCTATGGTCATCTAACTAACATAAAAATAACATTTTATCAAAGAATGAAAAGGATCTCATGATTTAGAAAAGATTATCTTCTGGACTATCAATCCTAATAAAAGGAAACTGGGTTCCTGAAGGAAAAAAAAAGTAAACTGGTAAAGGTGCATGAAGGAGCTGTTGCAAAGTCTCTCTTGTGTGTTCTACAAGGAATAATGTCTATAATAATAATGTCTGTCACTTGTATCTTATTAACCATTTTTCCGCACTAAGGAATAATGTTTAATGACAGAATATAATATATGCTGGAGAAGATTCTCAGTCATCCAATTCAAAGACATTCCGAAAAAAGTAAAAAAAAAAAAAAGCAATCCACTGGAGTTCGTTGCCATTATTTAAAGAGGTTTCACTTCCCATCCAGCTTTTTCAATTCAAAATGTCAGAAATAGTGTTGAGTTCGAGCTAAAGTTCAGTGGATCGTTTTCTTAACTTATTAGGAATGACAGAATGTAACCACAACAGCAAACCTTTTAGGTTATCCTTTCATTGGAAGTGAAGGTTTGATCAGATTGGAACGAATTAGCTATAAATTAAATTCTAAAAATCTGTTAATTTAGACAAGAAAGACTATAAATCAAAATGTTAAGGTGCTAGTCATAAGTAAAAAAAAAAGAGGGATTTTCTTTATCAGCACCACTTTGATGCAAATTAAACACCTAAATCAATTAAGAATTATTTCTGCTTAAGTTGATCTAAGGTTTGAAAACATTTACAATTAAAGCTGAAAGTAAATCTCAAAGATCAATGGAAAAGAGCTTGGAGCAAAAATCACTTCTTATGGTCTAAATACATGGGAGGTAAGGAAGAATGGACCATGGAGTATTTTGCCCATGTCCACTAATTCCTGAACTTCAGCCAACTCCTTTGTTCCCTGGCTTACATTACCAGACAAACTGATTAATCCAGGTGTGTGTGGCTAATGTTGTCATGGTTACTGAGGCCTGGATTAATCAGTTTGTCCAGTAATGAAAGACAGGAAACCAAGGAGTTTAAGTGCCTACATGCATGTAGGTACTTCAACTCTTACTTTATTTAACTAATTTTAACCTTCAGTCTCAGGTAAAGTTTTTCCTCTTCCCCTCCCCAAAAGTTGGAGTAACTTCATGTTACTCCAACTTTTCTATTTTTACATTCTCTTAAAATATTTTGTTGCTCTTGAGTATAGACTGATAAAAGTATGTCACATTATGTCAAATTGAAGGCAAACGAGGCTTGTTAAGATTATAATTTTTTAAAAGACAAGAAATATCAACTTTAACTGCTGTTGGTACACATTTAAGATTTGCCTTACCATTTGTGACAGTTAGCTGGATGCTGCGTGCTGAAGTGTAGTTCCAGCCATCTACTGTAATGTCAATGAGACAGGTGTATTTTCCTGCATCTTTTTCTGAAACCGCTGGCAGCCTCATAAAACCTTTAACTTTCTGATAGATATAATCCTCACCCAGATCCAATGGGTGACAGTCCTGTATGCATGCAAACATATTACGGTCACTTTTTGCAGTATAATACAAATATAAATGTATAAAAGCAGTGTAATGACAAAGTCAAAATTTGCTTTTGTATTTTGTGTCACAATTTACAATGAAAATGAGTTTAAATGCAACAATGGTAGAAATGCTTTCGTATAAATGACCTTCTTTGAAAAGCAGTAATCTGTTGTATAGTGCAGGTAAATTCCTGACATACCAACACACTTAAACTAAAAATAAAAACTACTTCTGATGATAAAGGAAAAATATCCCAAACAAATGCTTAGTGAGTAAAAAAACGTATTTGGAAATGTGATATTTTTTGTGAGGCAAAACCTTAACATGGTGTAATTATACATATTAGGCTATAGCTAAATCTATAATCATTGTATATTGTGGGGGGGAAAAAAACATTTTTGATTTTAATATCCTAGCCACAACAAGACTGTATTGCCAACCCAGCAGAATCAATAATTTCTTGCAAATTAAGGTAGGGTAAAACATTTCAACAGACAAAATATCATGCTCTGTTTTAAAGAACTTCCTAAATAGTAGAACATTTTCTAAGGAAAACCCCTGGATGCTCTTAATGCAAAAATGACATCCGCAGAGGATGGTGTGGCGGTAGAACTGTGTGAGGCATGGGATAACTTTGCTGCAAGTAAGATAATAAAAAAAAGAGCTGAATACAGATCAAGAAAGAAAGAAAACCTGGAAGTCGCACCAAAAGTCTTGAGATTTGGGTGCAGGTTCACCTTCCTGCAGGGCACCAAAACCCATCATACAGCCAGAGCTTTGCTACCAGCCATTGGTCATACCCTCGGGCTCCTTTAGAATTGATTTAGATTGTTTTTTTTTGTGTGTGAATATATTTAATATTATGATGGAAACAAAATTTAAATAATGTGTTATATTTGTTGCACACATTTGTCACTCTACTGTATGGGCCTGATCGTCAGAAGGTGTACACATATTAAAAACATGAAAACAAGAGCAGAATGCATAATGAAGGCGCAAAGGGATTTGCGTTTGCAAATTTAGCACACAGGATGTGCAAAGCTTTTCTTCCATGAGGGCCTTCATTGATATGCAGCTCATTTTCTGGTGTGGGGGACTGAACATGTGAATTATGCCACAAGGAACAGACATATTTTCAAAGTGCTCCACACAAAGCAGTCATTGTTTATCAATTAGTAATGAGCCCCATTGACTAAGAACATGTTGGATAAATCAGTTGTTAAGAGGAGCGGGTGGAAATAATTCCAGCTCTTTAGATCTTAATCTGCTGTAATATCCGCAACTGCTTGTAAAACAAGCAATCTGCTGATTTTAATGTGGTGAAACCAAACTGTTCTACATATCTTAACATTTGCAGCAATCTTTGTAGATCCCTGTAAAATGCCCACTTATTACACATGCTAAAAAAGAAGTTGCGTGTACAATTTAATTTCTTAATTGGAATCTTTGAAGAGCATGCCCTGTTTGCTTTGGCAGATGCTTTGAATTAGATCCCGACAATAGGGGGCATTGTTGCACCATAGAAGACAAAAACTATAGAGCAAAGTTCTGGCTTTAACTATATTTAGTCTGAAGTTCTGCTGACACCCTAATGATCTGTTTAATTCCAAATCCATTTTTTTTACCATTGATAACTGCATCGCATTGCTAGACCTATTATCAATATTGAAAAGATGCAAAGTTGGGTTAGTTGATTACAATATTTTTTTCTAAGTATGAATGCAGCAGAATGATTCTAAGAAGGCTGCAGAGCAGAATACCTTCATCCAACGTATTTTCCTTTTCAGATTCATTGTGAAGATCTCGTCCTGTTTGCACTCAAGACGTTCAGCTTTTCCAATGGTTACCGAAATGTCCTCATTTGGATCAGGGCAACCTTCTCTGGACACTAAAACTTTAAATATTCTTTTTGATGATCTTGTTTCATTCCTACAGAAAAGGAAATTAACAGTGAAAAGACTGCATTGTAGAAGTATTATTTCTAATAGTGTAGAATAAAAGAAAAAAATTGTTTTATACCTTTTCTCACAGATGTAGCTTCCAGTATGATTCATCTCCACAGGTCGAAACCACAGCAATCCATCTCTGACCTCTACTCCAGTTGGAAGCCCCTCATTGCCGCTATCTCCTCTGCTCCATATTATCTGTGATGGCGGAGCATCAGCAGACTGGCATCTCAGCAGAAACAAGTGACCAGCACTCACATGGTAGGTGTCTGCTCCTCCTTGGTGGTCTAAAACAACAGTATGTTTTTTTTATTTTTACTGTAAGTACAAATGTAATAAATTATATGCCAATTTGGACACAAACACCTTTCCACATGCTATATGAGTAGAAAAAAAAAATTAAAAAAGAAAAGAATTGCAAGTGATTGCTTGTTTTCTGCTTTTTTTCCCATTTACTTTTAGAACAAAAATTACTTGTTTTTCAATTTTTCATTTTGGCTAAAAAAGAAAATAAAGATTTCTCATTTCAAGCTGCGGCGTGGTAGAGAGGTTTTGTTTTTAATCAGTAAAAAACACATATTTAACTCTGCCTTCCAAACTACAAAGGTATGACCCTGGCAACTAGCTTTCCAAAGGCTATTTAGGAAAGCTATTCCATTATTGCAAAGAACTATTACATATAATAGAAGAAATTTTTAAAAAAGTGTGTAAAGTGTATGTAATTTTGAAAGTGATTCAAATTCACAGCCTTAGAAATAAATAGTTCCCATCAGTAACTGAATTTTATTACAAATAGATTGATATTTAATGAGGTAAAGGCAAATACAATTTGCTTAATTATATTTATTTATAGTCCCAGTCAAGTCAGTTCAATTCCTTTTAATTGTATATATTTTATATTAGTCATTTATTTATTGACATAAGATGTTACACCATCCTGCTGAGAAAAATATCAACACCTTTGATCACTGATTTTAGAATTGGGGCTGTTTTTTTAGTGTGTAGTCCTGTTTCTCTCCTAGACATATTGGCCTTATACTGTGGCTAACTGTATCTGCTCTTTTCCATCCCCTTGACATTAAAACTGACTCAGAGCTCATCTGCTTAACTATTTCTTTCCAGAGCCAGATATGAAGCTAGTTTACAGTTACTTTTTCTAGTATAGAAAGTATTTATAGATCAGAGCCCCTTTATTACTCTTGTATGTAACCTCAAGTCTGGTTACTTCCTGCTTAAATGGAGTTTTTCCTCTCTAACGTTGCTGAATATCTTGTTGCCACATGCTTATGCGTGATGGCTGTGTCGTGTACAGTCAATGACTCAATGCAATCAACTGGTTTTACTTTCATAGAAAACTTTTTACCAATCTGATTGTATTGTCTCTGTAAAGTGTATTGAGATGATGTGTGTTGTAAATTTGGTCTATATATATAAAAAAAAAAAGTCTGGACTTAAATTGAATTTAATTGTGTTCTCTTGGCCACAAGGTGGCATTGTTGCATTGTCACTGTGAGATGGTCATTCAGTCACAGCACTCTCTATATAATTGGATGGCTGAATTTGTTTGAATAAAAAAAATACAGATTCATGGGTTAAACAAACTATTCATTATCTTAATAATTTAACATTTTTGAAAACGTCATCGTCCGTGCAGTAATTTGTTCCTACATTTTCCTTTCACGTTTTTTTAGGAGCAGCATTCTTTTGGTGGCATTTTCAGAAGGTGCCTTTTTTTGATTTTTTTCTTATTATTTATTTATGCTTTAATATTAATTAGTATTATTTCTAAATACATAATCAATATAATTAATTTTTTTTTTTTTTTGGTGCCTTTTAAGCAACACGCCACAAGTCTCTCCAAGTACTTCAGAAATTGTAGAGCTGTTTGTCCAAGACTTTCCACAACTCAGCAATGTGGAATGTTTCTTTCTAAACAGTACAATCGTGTATTTTCTTGTTACACTCTGAACAGAATACTACCCCTTCACATGACACTGACACAAATAACTACTCTTGTACTCATTCCTAAGAATATTTTTGTGAGAGGTCTGTTTTGGACCATCAGAAGATGTTTGAGTATGCAGAGAGAAACCATGCATGCACAAGGGGGAACTAGCTAATTCTATTCTGAAAAAATGCCTGGCCTCAATTTAAACCCAGGGCCTTCTTTCTTTCTGCAAGGCAGCTTTGCTGCCAACTGTGCCAGTGTGCACCCTAAAAAATAACCGCTGACATAAAAACACTTCAGACTTGCTCAAACAAAGAAAGTACGCAAAGACATGATCGGAAACTCAGAAAAACACCATCAAACAAGTAAAACCTTACCATGACAGAAAAAAAACCCTTAACAACCAACCCACAATGTGCAAACATATCAAATAACAAACACAACAGAAAAAAATGTCTTATTAATCAGTGAATACTGTAGAATTGGAACAGACTCCTATATTGTGACACTAAGGAACAGTAAATCGAGAGCTTTGCCTTTTCGCTCAGCAAAGTCTTGAACACAATAGAAAGGTGCAGCGTCTGCATTACAGTTGCAGCTGCAATGATCTGTCTATGATCTGAGTTGGGGAGTGGCAGCCTAGTGGTTAGGGCATAGGGCTTTCAATCCTGAGATTGTGAGTTCGATCCCCCACTCCCACAGACTGCCACTCTGGGTCCCTGAGCAAGACCCTTAACCTCACACTGCTCCCCGGGCGCCTCACAATGGCAGCTCACTGCTCCCCAAGGGGATGGGTTAAATGCAGAGAAGTAATTTCCCTCTGGGATTATTAGAGTATATCAAAATCAAAAAAAAAATAAAAAATCAAAATCAGTCTAAACCCTCCATGAACAGGATCTCCCCTTTGCTCATAAACAGGACCTCCACTTCAGGCAGCAACTCTCCTATAACTTAACAGAGACCAGCCTCCTTATTCCAGTTGAGAACCATTGCATTGGACTCGGAGGAGCTGATCTTTATCAGTAACAGGATATTCACATCTAACTGGAGATCACTATGAACACAGTACAATAGGCTTTTATCTGCAATGTACAGTACTGTACTAAAGTAACTGTTCCTTTTGTCTGATGCAGGAAAGATAAAACCTCTATATATCCTTGTTGAATGGCCAAGCTTTTGTGATGTTAAAAAAAGAGATGCCTTAAAGTCCTTCCACTATAATAATTAATTTAACATGTACTGTATCGGGTACAAAACCGACTGAAAAAAAATTGCATGAAAAAAATCTGAAGAACAAATATGCTGCAACGAGCCACTCATAAACTACTTCCTTTAGGATCACTTTTTAATTAACACTCTTTTTGAGCTATCATCACAAACCCTGCAGGTCTCCATGTAAATACTTGAATTGAGATAACACTTTAGACTTAGCCTTAGACAGATTTATTTTGTCTAAGTCTAAGAAAATTTTCTAAGAAATTTTGTTTCAAACAGCTCTAGAAAATTTCATTTTTTAAAGTGCAGCCTTGAAAAAAGTAATAAATATATAAAAAAAATAGTAATATAAACATTTAAGCATTTGACACTTCCCTGTCTTACTGATATAAAGAGCTTTTATTTGACCCATTCACACTTATACACACATTGATATATAATGTCCAGATCGCTACACAACTTTGTGCCTGACCAGGTGGTTTAGCTGTTCTGGGAAGAAGCATTGGGAAGCATAAACAGCCTTTATTAGATAATATGATAGGAGTTACTATCATTATAATTTTGTCATTTATATTTAACAGGGGCCCAAATTACACACAATACGAAAAAAAAGGTTTTCTGCAAGGCAAACCAAAATTACAGCAGATTTAAGACTGAAAAAAGTGAACAGAGTGGTGATAGATGGGAAACTCTAAGAAATAAAACAAGACTTGGAAAACAGCAGATATCTGTTGTTTTTGCCCTAAATTTAGAACTGAATAGACTTTGCTGCACAATATTGAATTATTGTTAGATCCTATGCTAACCGAGGTGTGAGTGCATCAAGACAAATCCTAGTGTCATTGGCATTTAAACAGAAGTTAGTGTTTTTATAGGTCTTGATCAAAGTTATTAATAAGTTTATTAAATAATAACAGCTCCAGAATCGATCCCTTGGAAACACCAAAACAATATGCTTCAGCTTGGACAGAATTCTCTTGTCTAAGAAGATCAAAACAGACAGTTCTGAAACTGTAATATATTCGTTTAGGTTTTGTGCACACTCATACAGCGTTTTAATTACAGTTTTTTTTTTTTTTTCCACTTTACGCTTTCACTTTCAGTGGCTGTTTGAGTCGTTGTTTTTCAGTTATACTGTACAGTGTTATCCACCAACTCTAACCACCTAAAAATGACTTATCTAGGTCAAACTTTTTTTTCCTGTCTTTTATCTTATTCTGAAAATCTTATATTTTAACAGCAGTGTTTTGAGTTTCATATCATTTTATCTGTATTAATCTACAGTGAATATCGGAAGCAAATTGTACCAGAGCTTATTCACGAGGAGAACTCTGTGGTTTTTATCTCCAGGATGTCAGATGTGTGCGTGCTTCCTCATAGCAAACCGTTTCCTAAGTATGTATCAACATTTTACAGGTCTATTCAACAAGTTAGAGTCCTGTCGAGTAGTTTATTCATTTCAGTTTTTAAATTCTGCGGGAGAATCACATTATGTACTTTAAATACACCCAAACAGTGTTTACAGGTCTTTCATTCTGTTGATCATGATGGCTTTTGGCTTAAAGCGAATCAAAACATAAAATATATATTATTACATTTTCTTTATTATCACATTTAACCAATAAAAACATAAATGTAGCCTTAAATTTTCTTACATACCAGTATCATCAGAATATATATTCTAATTTATTAACTATAATTTTATGGGCATAACAGCTCAGCTTAAACTTGTATCTAATGATGTAATCTACTGTGTGATTTATTTTTTATTATCAAAATAGATAACATTTCTTCAGTCTTAAATCTGCTCTAATTTTGGTTTGCCTTGCAGAAAAATGTTTTTGTTGTATAGTGTGTTATTTGGGGGTCTATTAAATTTAACTGACTAATTCATAATGACAGTAACTCCTATCATATTATCTAATAAAGGCTGTTTATGCTTCCTAGTGCTTCTCCCCAGAAGAGCACACCTCAGGCCTACAGTTATGTCTATTGTCTGTATTTGTAGAATAAGTAAGATAAAGTATTTACAAACAAATAAGTTTGTAAATTCTTTGTGTTTGTTTGCATATACCAATAAAAATAACTTTATTTCTATAGTAGTATCCTTTGTTTTTTCCTACC